ATGGTTAGGGTGCCATCTGGAGGCGGCAAGTAGTATTACCACTCTCAGTTTTAAGCCTGGGTCAGAACTATCTTGCAAGATGCATTTCCTGTTGAGTCATTGAGGTCTCATTTCATAGTTGTTTCTCTGCAGACTTCATGCTTTGATCAAACCAGTAGCCATTGTTTTCTGTTTGTTCTGTTCAGAATTTCAACCCTGCTTTATATTCAAATAGTCAATATCAATTCAGGGCTGTTTTGCTAATCATAAACCCTGGAATAAAGGGCATGTGAGGACGAAAGCAAGTACGTTGTGCTCCGGGTAGCATTTTCTTCCTGTGTGAGGCTGGTGTGGGTTCCTGCTGCGGCTCTTTCTGGCTGAAGCCTTTTCTCAACCCTGAAGTCAGAACGAAGTTGTTGGTCTAAGTTTCCGTTTAACAGTATTTGGTGCAGTGACATACTTCACTATCAAATGGAGGGTAGATGCAATGATCCAACTAGAAAGTAGAAAGTAGAAGCTCAGAAACAGGCAGAAGAACTAACAAAGCAAATTGGTGTAAGAAACATGAAGCTTTCAGAGTAACTAAATGAGTATTGCTGCTCACCTAGTAGGCTGCCTTAATATGCATGTTACTTGGAGTAATGCAGCAGGTTTCGGTGATGTTATTACAGATCTTAAAGATACAGTCATCTTTCCTATCAAAGAGCATTTGGGCTGGGAATTTAGCTCAGGGGTTCTGCCACCTGCCCCGCAAGCACAAGGATCCGAGTTCGATCCCTGGTACCAAAAAGAAGAAGCATTTGAGAACTCTAGGCATCTGCAGCCTCCCAGAGGGGCTCTTCTTTGTGGTCCTCCAGGCTGTGGTAAAACACTGATTGCCAAGGCTACGGCCAAAGAAGCTGCTGTCGATGTATTAACTAACCTTCAGCCTTCAACACTGACTGATGAGTGGTGTGGAGACTCTCAGAGATTGTGTGCTACTGTTTTCTCCCTTGCCGTGAAGTTACAGAGTTCCATCATCATTATAGATGAAATAGACTCCTTTCTATTGAAACTGTTCAAGTTCTGACCATGAAGCTACAGCCATGATGAAAGTAGTTTGAGTCTCGGGGACGGACTGGATACTGATCACAGTTTCCAGGTCATAGTGATGGGAGCTACTCATCATCCTGAGGACCTTGACTCTGCTCCAGTGGGGAAAATGCCTACAAGATTCCATATCAACCAGCCTGCACTAAAACAAAGAGAAGCAATCTTGAAGCTCATCTTGAAAACTGAAAATGTGGACAGGCATGTAGACCTTTTTAGAAGTCGCTCAAGAAGCTGATGGGCTTTCAGGAAGTGATCTGAAAGAGATGTGTGGAGATGCTGCCCTCCTCTGTGTCAGGGAATATTCTACGTCAGAAGACAGTCATGATGAAGATGAAATCGGCCTGGGCACCAGAGGACCTGCATCGGGCAATTGAAGAGATGAAGAAATGAGCATTTCACAAAATGTAGCATTTCAGAATGTTGTAACACGTTTGTTTAGATTGAGTAAAGATCATCTGTACGGTTCGGTGATCTAGTCTGGTGTGCCCTTATCAGTTAGTGGCTTAAAAGAGTGAAAGAGTCCTGTGCTTATAGTTTTATACTCTGAATTCTAAGTTACTGAGGTATAGTTGTGTAAGTGGTATTACTGCTTGTCAAAAGTCACGAAGAGGAACGGTTTAATCCAGCCCAAGTGTGGGTGCTCGTGTTTGATCTCTTCAGCCATATGTTGTCACAGCCTTATAGAATCTACGCTGATCTTAAAGGAATAAATGACTCATTGAGTCATTAGTGAGAAGTGGGGATGTGGTTAGGTGCTGGTTCTAGATGTGTCTTTGTATATGTATGTGTGTACATTAAGTGTGTATACCCACACATTTTTTGACATTCTGTAGATATGTTTGAATACGTGACTTTCCTTATTTTAATTTAATAGATAGTTTTGTTGTAACCATGTCTTTAAAATGTCATTAAAAGTCATATGTTTTGTAAATTATGCTCAAATATAATTTGGTCACCAAAAATGAAATAATAATTTAAGCACTTGTTGCTAAATTTCCTAAAAATACTCACTTTGTAACTTTAATTTTAAGAATGTTCTGAGCTTACTATAAATTGTGGCCTCTTTAAGTACAAAAGTACAGATTAGTATTCACATATGTAGAGTTATTTGATGTAATGTGTTCTACATAGGAGGCGTTGTCTTGTTTCAGATTCCACTATGCAAATCCTGTTAGCGGCACCTAAACACACAGCATGAGGAAAACGGCACTGCACAACCTGAGGTGCCATCTGCACTGTGAGAAGCACTGTTGCAGATGCTTCCATTTTTATTACATTTATTTCAGAACTCCATCTTTGTTCTTGAGTTATTGGGTTAACTTATGTTTCTGACTATCGAATAGTTGATACATTGACTTGTACTTCGATGGGGGAGAGTTTACAAGAGAATACTTTGAATAGCCAAAAGCAAGTTATGAAAAGTGAAGATGATGAAAAAATGAATGCAAAACCCAAGATACCAAAAATTTAAAAATGGTCCCCGTTTAGTTTGGATTTTTTTTTTTTTTTGAGACAGGGTCTCACTATGTAGTTGAGACTGACCTGGAACTCACTATGTAGCCCAGGCTGGTCTCAAACTCACAGCGATCCTCCTGCCTCAGCACTCGGGATTACAGATTTGCGCCACCACGCCCGGCTCCATTTTTAATAATTATACTACCATTTTATAAATGTATAATAAAGGGGTCCTACTTTGTTGATTTTTCTGCACTTAAAAAAAAAGAAAAAGAAAAGAAAGCAATGTGTTGTGCTAAAGGGGAAGCAGTTGCGCACCTCTGCTAGAGGAGAGAGGGTGGTTCAGAGTCTGGCAGTAGGGCCGTGGTCTGAGTGAGGGGGAGACAGAGGCAGGGAACGTGTCTTTTACCTTCTGTGCTTGTTCACACCTGCACTGTAAAATTTGTTGAATGGTGGTGGTTCCGGGGCAGGCAGGTGAGGTGTAGACTAGACTCGGGCCCTCAAAAGACAAGTTTATTCTGCCGTGATTTGAGTAGAACAGCGAGCACATCACTGAACTTATGATTTTCCCCCACTCATCAGGACTGCAGACTTTTTGTTCTCATGTTTTGTAGAACACCAGAACAGCTGAGCCTTAAATACTCACCTGGGCCAGAGCTCTGCCCTCCACTAAGAAACTGAGCCCAATTTGTTTCTCTCCCCTTAAAAATCCCCTCCAAGGGAAGTTGTTTCTCACTTTTCCACTGTTGAAGTGATTTTTCACTGGCAAGTTTAAATTTTTTTGTGAAATAGTTCCTTAAAATTCTTGGTGATGATAAATTTACTTATTTTAATCCTCATATGTAAGAGGCTAATCATTTTAATTTAACATCTGATGGGAGGATTGCTGCTATTTCGCTTGCCCATAACTCCGTCCCTCTCTTCTCAGAGGGTGTCTGCTTGTCTACCTTTATAACTGTGTATTTGGGGCTGGGGATTTAGCTCAGTGGTGCTGCTGCCTGCCTCGCAAGCCAAGGTCTTGAGTTCAATCCCCGGTACCCCAAAAACAAAACAAAACAAAACAAAACAGCTGCGGTTTCCATTATTAAGCAGACGCCCCCTTGTTCCTTCTGCTGGGATGCTTTCTCCCCTTCGACCAGATGTGTCCCAGTTAGGGTATGGTGACTCTTCCTCTTGTCCTTACCACTCAAGAGCTTTTAAAAGATAGCTTTACTGAGATATAATTCACACAGAATTCACCCATTTAAAATTTACAATTCACAGATTTTTTAGGTCATTCATGGATAAGTACAGCCATACCACAATTTTTGAATATTTTTATCATCTCTAAAAGAAACCTTAAGCCAGGTGTGATAGTGCACAACTGTAATCCTAGCACTCAGGAGGCTGAGGCAGGAGGCTTGTCATGAATTCAAGGTGAGCATGCACTGCATAGTGAGACCCTGTCTGAAAAGGCCAAAAATGATTGAATGAGCGAATGAAACCCTATATCCTTTACCTATCACCTCTTCCCTGCTATCCAACATTGAGCCGCCACTACTCTCCTTTGTGTCTGTTTTTCCCTATTCCAGACATTTTACATGCATTGAATTCTGTAATGTGTAGCCTTTTGTGTCTGACTTCTTCCACTTAGCCTGTTTTCAAGGTTCATCCATGTTGCAGCACATACCAGTGCTTCCTTTGTGACCAGTAATATTACACTGTATAAGTATGTCCTGTTTTGTTAGTCACTTATCTATAGATGGACATTTGGGTTGTTTTCACCTCTTGGCTGTTACGAATAATGTAGCTGTGAGCAAATTTTTCTTTGTGCAAATTTTTGTGTGACCTCTACTTTCATTCCTCCTGGACATATCCCTAGGAATAGGGCTGCTGGGTCACACGATCACTACATGATTAATCATTTGAGGAACTGCCAGACGATTTCCCAGAGTGACTGCACCATATCACAGCCCCACCAGCAGTGTGTGAAGGCTCTGATTTCTTATACCCTTGCTAACCCTTGTTATCTGTCTTTTTGCTTCTGTCCATCCTAGGGTATGTGAAAGTAGTATCTTGTGGTTTTGATTCACATCTTCACTAATGTCAGACATCTTTACTGGGGATTGAACCAGAGCCTTTGCACTGAGCTACATCCTCAGCCCTTTGTTTTTTATTTTGAGATAGGGTCTTGCTGAGTTGCCCAGATTGGGGTCAAACTTGTGATCCTCCTGCCTCAGTTTCCCAGAGTGCTGGGATCACAGATGTGTGCCACCATACCTATTACCTTATTGATATCCTGATCTTTGATGTCATGTTGCATTTTACGGTACAGCCATGTCACAGTGAAATGTAGAGTACTCCCCACCAGATGTCATTGTGTCATTGCATGTTCTGATTAGGCAGAACACGTCTTCAAAAGAGATGGTCACAGCAAATATGATGATGAGAGGCAGTAGATTTCATATGGATCATCTTCCTTCCTTTTTCAACAGGTGTGGCAGATTCCAGAAAATGGACTCACCCTTTCCCTGACTGAACCTGTGGTGATCTTAGAAGGCCACTCCAAGAGAGTTGGCATCGTGGCCTGGCATCCGACAGCACGCAACGTACTTCTTAGTGCAGGTGGGAGCTCCAGAGGCCCCTTCGCGTCTCTCGGCCCTTCATGTGGAGGGAACGGCAAATTTGTCATGAATGTGTGTTCTGCAGCTTTGTTTGTTTTTGTGATGCTGGGGATCGAAGTCGGGGATTCACACGCAAGCGCTCTGCCATTGAGCTTTGTGTCCCGAGACCCGTGGTTACAGTTTTGAAGAGACTAGAAAACCATGGAGGCGTTCATACTTCCAGAGATGCAGAGTCGGCTTCACACACTCTGTATGCCGCCTGCCTTTTGCACTTAGTGGTGCACTGTGGTTCTTTTCCTGTGTCGTTAAATGTTCTTCCTGTTAGGTGTATTTTTAATACAGAATAGTCTATTCTCTGGATGTAGCTCAGTTTATTTAGTCAATCCCTTGTTTCTGGATATTCTTTCTGATTTTCGCTGTTAACACTGTAAGGAATGCTTGTATTAGTCTTAGGGTGCTTACCAGTTTCTCATTTGATTACTTTCCAAGTTTATCTTATAGAAATCAATTCCTGTGTCTAAAACTTGAGATTTTATTTTCTTTCATAAAAGCAGTAGAGAGGGCACTAAGGAGCTTTGGGAGCGATAGAAATGTTCTGTGCCTTGATCATGGCAGGGCCTACGTGATTGCATTCATTTGTTCAAACTTACCCTAAGTATACATTAGGGCAGAGGTGGCAAACCTTTTAGAGGCCAAGTACGCAGACTGCAAACCAAAACCCACTTATTTATCACAAAGTGCCGACACTGCGATTAAATGTGACTACTGAGGATTTAGTTCAGAAGAGACACCTGTTACTCATTGCTCAGCTGCTGGGGTAACTCGGCTCCTGCTCCGACAGAGAGGGCTCTGCGTGCCCTACCCAGCACGCCTGCCATAGGTTCACCACCGCTGCATTAGGGTATACCCTAAGTATGCATTGCATTGTATGCAAATGATATCTTAATACTGGTTTATTCTAGTACTGTATTGGAGGTAGGGTTTTTTGTTTGTTTATCTCTTTTTTTGAGACAGGGTCTTGCTATAGAATTCAGGCTGAGCTTGAGCTCACTGCATAGCCCAGGCTGGCCTCGAACTTGTGGCCTCAAACTCCTCTCTCAAGTGTGTGCCACCACACTTGGCTTTTAAAGGTCTTATTCCTCACCAGTTTAAAAAAAAAGAGGCAGGTCAGTTTTTAACTGAAAACAGAATGTTTTGAGGTATGGTGAGTTAAATAAAGTTAATTTCTGGTACCTAAAGAAATCACAGACTAGTTTCCAAAACTAAATAGGATACAGTTTTTTATAATCACTGAAAACTGTACTTGGGAACCCTTTTGATCTACCCGGAGCCTCAGTCTGATAAGAGGAAGAAATTCCAGAGGTGGAATTCCATGTGGAAAATGCCCTGCTGCCCTCCTCGTCTAGGTCACACAGAGGGTATCATGAGCAGACTGCTGTTCTCTTTCACAAGCAGAGGGAAAGGTGGACTGCAGTGTTCTGCGTATTCTAAGACTGTACGATCTACCTGCAGCAGCTGAAGTTAACGTGTTTGCCCGTGAGGAGCAAGGCTGAGAAGGGTTAGTTCTCCACCCCTGAGTTTAGCTGCAACTTTGTGTACTATTGTGTTCTGCAGCTGTCCTTGGGCAACTTGTGTGCAGTATCGTATATATTAGTGGCTAATTTTTCTAAAGCACTAAAAAATTTTCCATTTTCTTTCCTCTATTTTGCCTTATCCTTGAACTGATGTCCTAAAAAACAAAAGCATGTCCTAGAACTGAGAATTGAGCCCAGAGCCTTTGCACTGAACTATATCCCCAGCCCCTTTTTAATTTTTGAGATGGGGTCTTGCTAAATTGCCCAAGCAGGGCTTGAATTTGATGTTCTTCTACCTCAGCCTCCCAGAATCCTGGGATCACAGATGTACCCCATGCTGCTGGCTGATGCTTCCTTTTAAAGGGGCAAAGCCTTGAAAAAGGAGGGGTGGAGTTGGTCAGCTGAGAGGCTGTGGGCCTCTTTGGGCATCATTTTCTGAATCTACGTGCCTGCTTGAGTATAGTTTAGGCTTCTCACCATGATCAAGCCACTCTTAGGCTATTTTTCTCCCCTTTTAAAGAAAAGATCTGCGGGGAGCAAGTAGGTCAGTCCTTGCATTCCCTCCTGTCATTGTAATGTTCCGTGCTTTCCCATACTGAGCCCATGTCTCAGCATCACTGATTTGACTGTCTGCTATCCAAAGTTCTTTGGAAAAGAAATAAACTGCTGTTTTCGTTCTGATGTTTGCTTTACTAGAAAAAGAAACTTGAAATGACTCAGGTCCACCACCAGCCTAGTTAATGCTGGAAAAAAAAAGGTTCTATTTTGGTGCAGTTCTTTGTTTTTGTTTGGTTGTTTCATACAGACCCAAACTTAGCTGTGTTTTTCTTTTAGACAAGTCTTTATCACTTCAATCTTCCAGTTAGTAGAACTCCTTATCATCAGCACCTTCCTTTCTGTGCAAGATGTTTATGGTTTTCTTGGACTTGTTTTTATACGGTGTTTCTCATCTCTGAGGGGTTGGTTTTGCTTGTTGTAGGCTGTGATAATGCCATCATCATCTGGAATGTGGGGACAGGCGAAGCCCTCATAAACTTGGATGACATGCATTCAGACATGATTTACAATGTGAGCTGGAACCGGAATGGCAGTCTGATCTGCACAGCTTCCAAAGACAAGAAAGTGAGAGTAATTGACCCCAGGAAACAGGAGATTGTTGCTGTGAGTATTCTTCTAGTGGCTCTTCAGTGCCTGTGAACTCCCTGTTTTTAAGGCAGGCAGCAGTCCTGGCCATTGGGCCCTTGAGCTCGGACACAGACTGAACCAGAAAAGCTTATACAGGCTTCTGACTGTCCCTGTCACTTTTCTTTCTGGAGTTAAACATTTCCAGCCTTCACTCAACTTTCTTTGGCAACCAATACAAAGTTTTTATCAAGTCACTGTCATCCTTAAGAATTTAGAAGTTTGGATTAACTAAACCAGATTACATTCCTGGTTGTGGGGCTTAGTACTAACTGTTGATGAACAAAGTCCCCACTGTTTTCCAAATGATTGTTAAAGTGCCTTATAGAACTACAGCCATTCTCTGCTTGGCTCGGTGTCTTAGTTTCTGCCACACTGGCTGGGCCTTAGCAGAATCACATATCCTGACCTAAGGTCTTTAGTCAGGATTGAAACAGCCAAATGTTGAATCCAAGAATGCCCCACTTCAGCTGTGTCCCGAGGCCTTCCTGACATTCACATGGTCTTGGCAGCCTTGTTTCTAAAGAGTCGGGTAGTCATTATGGCTGGTCCCCATTGATCACTGATGGCTTACACGGCCTTGTGTGGTCTTTCTTCACCCAGCATTTCCCGGGGTGGATATTAGTGCACTCTGATTAAATGAATGAGGTTAAGGGAGGGGCTGACTAGACCAGGCTTCTTCATGTCCTGGACTGTTGGTAGAGAGTATAGTCTATACCCAACCTTTAACCCTCTTTGTAACTCTCTTGAGGAGAAAAACTTGGTAGAGTCCTTGAGTATGTTTTATGTTTGCAGTGCATGGATGTTGGTGAGCAGCAGGATGCGTTGGAAAGAGTGAGCTTTTGAGTCCAGTTCTGGTGCTCTTGCTTGCTAACTAGCTGGGGATCTTGACCAGATCACTTAATGTCGATTTGTTTCCTCATATGGGAAGGAAGAGGGGTGCTTAGCCCTGGCTCCCTGTGTAGGAGAACATGGATGGCACACGGGGCGAAGCTGGGTTCAGTGTATAGGTTCCTCACGCACTTTTCCTTTGAGTGTGTTTAATGTGCCTCTTTGCTCTCACTCTCCCAGGAGAAGGAGAAAGCACATGAAGGAGCTCGGCCCATGAGGGCCATCTTCCTGGCAGACGGCAACGTCTTCACCACTGGCTTCAGCCGCATGAGCGAGCGGCAGCTGGCGCTCTGGAATCTGGTAGGCCCCTTCCCTGCCTTGAACCAGCTTGCTTTCACTTGAGCTCTCTTTCTCTCCGTTCTGACCCTGTCACTGAGTTAGTAGTGAATTATAGGAGTCTTATTGTAGTTTTCCAAACTTCTGCTGTCTACCCCCAACTTGTATGGATGGTGCAGTTGCAGTTTTGTGTGTGTCATCCTGAAGTGTGGTTAGACCAAATACCACCCAATACCACGATGTATGGCATGTGGACTGCCTTCTGTGTTCTTTATGTCTTTGAAGTTTTTAAGTGCACATATATTTATGTATAATGAGAAAAGGTACCTTAAAAAATTGAAAATGAGGAGAGCACTCTCATTTTGGTGATGGAATCACACAAATGTGTGCATTAATTGTGTGGCCATGTCAGTCAGTTTGATCCCTATTAATATTTTCATGTATGAAGTCATTCAGACTTTAGATTGTTCACATAGTTGAAGCATATTAAGATGTGTACATATTTTTTTTCCTCAGAAAAATATGCAAGAACCAATTGCTCTTCATGAAATGGACACAAGCAATGGGGTATTGCTGCCTTTCTATGATCCTGACACCAGTATCATTTACTTATGTGGAAAGGTAAACAGAACTTTCAATATTTGATATTAATTGAGTCCTGTAAGGGGAAATATCTGTTCTCAAGAGATTTAGAAGTTGGACAGTGTATCATTTAAGTGTTCTGATTTGTCTAATTTATTTGTTGTTCAGCTGAGATAAAGACAGATGGTTTTGGTATGTTTCAGGCACGGGACTGGACCAGCTATTGTGGGGTGGTAATGTGTGTATTCAGCACTTCTGACTGAGACTGGGCTCGGGCTAGGTGTTAGGTCATATGCCAAGGGAGAGAGCTTCTCTTAGAGCTGTCTGCTGAGAAAAACAGGACATGCTGGTGTCTTGTTTGCGCCCAGTAGTGCTGTGCAGTTGGTGATTTTTTCAGTCTGTGTTGGTTAGGGATGGGTGATGAGTCTGCCACACCTAAGGTACCCTGTGCCGTGGCTGGTAAAGAGAAGCCCTGTGTGGATGGGGCCTTCCAAGGCCTCAGAAACTCTCCAGAGGGCTCTGGTTCCTGACGCTCAAGGTTGGGGCTTGAGGATGTGCAGGCTGAACTATGAAGTTACGAAGTTTCGGGGTGACAGCTGTTCCCGGAAGATGTTACTCTGAGCTCGGAACACCTTCCTCCTGCCTTATGACCTCCATTTAATAAGCCATTGGTATCTTAACTATTATTTTTATTTCCTTTTGGTAGATGGTGGCCTAAAAATTCCTTATTCTTTTGTAGGTTCAGTTTTCCTAAGCACTCTTTATAGTTGAAATAAATGAATTAATAAAAATGGAACTTTTGATGTGGTCCCCAAGCTTGTCAGATAGCCTCTTGCTGGAGATGTTTTCCTTTTCACAGTTGATGGAGTACACTGCAGTGCTGCTTTGCATTTTTAAGGTCAATTAATTATAACTGAGAGCTTATCTGTTTCCGTAAAAGTCACTTTATGGCAGCTGTCAAGTCCATAAGCCTTACCATTGCTGCCACACACTACATGAACAGTCACCTGGAGTGTATGAGCCCAAAGAGGCAAATTACAGTAGGTGTCTAGCTTCTTTTGCATTGCCTTAAAATTTTAAGTGTGAAACAAATGGAAACTATGAGAGCGAAGAACCTTGCTAGGGCCTCATACTGCCTAGCTCCTTAGGTCTTGTGTGTGTGTGTGTGTGTGTGTGTGTGTGTGTGTGAGTGTGTGTGACTTCTCTCCCAGATGAGATTCTCTTCATTGTTCAGGTGGTGTGAC